GATCATCTGGTCCATGCTTATCACTTGCTTCTCAGAGCTGACTCTAGGGCTGGAAGAGACAGGGCAGGGCAGGGCTCGGTCAGTGGCAGAGCCGCTTGATCCCACCCCTTCCAGTATAAGAAACTCAATTTTTACCTCTTAATCCACCCAAGTCTTCAATTGAGGAAATGATTTCTCTGGTTATAAATAATTTGAGAATGACCTAGGTAGCCAAGACCACTTTTTCATGAATGAGTAAAATACATGCCAGAAAAATTAAAGAATTCTTAGTTTAGTGATGGACTTGGACGTATGCCCTGGATCACATATTTCTCCCAGTGCTCTCTCCACACCATGCTATGCCGTCTCTTACACGAGGGAGCAGATCAGGTGAGAATTCCTGTCTTTGGATTTTGACTTTTTTGATTTTGTGTTTGAATGACTACCAAGAAAATCCAATGAAGCCAAATTAGTGTGAGAAGAGGCATAAATGCACTACTGGAGGTAAAGACGCAGCCTGCAATTGCACTCCTTCTCTGTACTCTTTCCAGTCACGCTGAAGAATTATATCATCATCCGGAATCTGAAAGGGGTCATGGGGAGGATGGAAAGGCCTAGCTCCCTTTTCTTATGTCACCAAGTGTATTGCTATTAAGACTGTGAGAGGTGAAGGTTTCAGTAGCATACTTAATGAAAACTTGCTGACATTAATGACTCAAATTCTCAGATAGACTGCAAGGAAAAATGGTGTCATCACTGTCATTCAAGACAATTAAGAAGAAATTTCAAAAGAAGGCTGTCAGGCATAATGACTGCCAGGTTCTATTATATCATTCCCAGAGGGTGGATCACACACACTACTATGCAGCCTGTGGGTGGTTGATATCAAGTTTGAAAGGAAGCTGTACAGAGAGGAGGTGAGGTGGGTGTAGGACCCAAAGAGGCTGCTTCACAACTGGGAGACATCACCACTGACATTTATATGGTGACTTAGGGTGAACCTATGATCCAGGGCCTGGTCTTTTATTTTGGATATGCAGAAACCTAACCCATCAGGACATTTCAACAAGATCATGCTCTTGGTGCTGAACAGAACCAGGAAAGTTTGAGCTATAAACAATCATGTAAATTTATTAATTTACAATGAGAATGCCCTCTTCTAATGACTAGACATTCATGTCTCCTTGCATTCTAACATCAAGGTAGCTGTAAAGCGTAGTTTATAATCACAGGTCGCTGTGGGAGAGTTGGGTATGGGCCCGGTTCTCAGCCTTGGCTGCATGTTACAATCATCTGGGGGCTTTAACACTAAGGCCACACTCTGAAAGCAAATAAGCCTAAATCTCAGGAATTATGACCCAGACATCAATAGTTTTTAAACCTCCTTAAAATGATTCCATTGAGCAGCCAGGGTGGGAACCCACCCAGTTAGAGCAAAGAGGTTATCCAGGTCACCACAAGTCTTCGGGCCTCATCCTTTCCACACAGGGATCCACACTTGTGTATGTTATAGACCAGTGACGTTTTGTTTTGTTTTGTACATTTAAGTTGGCAGCAGATAAAGGTTTGCCAATTTTTTAACTTGTCAAGCAAGGAAATTAAAAATTAAATTACTGGACTACCGATCAAGATGGTGATATAGGCAGACATGGCTTACCTCTTCATGCAACCACATCAAATTACAAATAAAATATAGAAAAACCATCACTCAGGAACATCAGATATTGAGTCAAATGGAAGTCTGACAACTACAGAATTAAAGAAACCACACCCATTCAGACTGGTACGAGGGGTGCAGACATGGAAAGGCCTGGCCCCACACCCACGTGGATAAAAATTCTGGAGGGATAGCTCAGGTGCCGGGAGTCCCAGATCCACACAAGGCCCCCAGCCCAGGATTCCAGTGCCAGGAAGATAAGTGCCCACAGCTTCTGGCTGCTAAAACCAGTGGGGATTGAATCAGTGGAGGAGGCTGCTGGAGCCCCAAGCAGTTCTTCCTGGGGAACCCACACAGAGACTCACCTCCTCAGTCTTGCTCCCTCTGAGCATCAGCACTGGGGTGGCAGCCTGAAGGGCACCAGTGGTGTACAAGGAGAAACTGAAGGGTCTGGCATCAGGGCAAGCAGAGGCCATTGTCCCTTTGCTGAGCCCTCCCCTCACAGAGCCGGTAGGCTGGTACCATATCTGAGACTCCATCAACCTGGCCAACACTGTGTGACGCACCTTGGAGGTCCACAGAGGCTCTACCTCACCCAATTTACAGGCCCACCCAAGCTGCTTTTCCATAAGAATGGTTGGTCTTGGCTCCTAAATCCTATCAAATAAGCAACAGTTGGCTTCAGTGAGCCCGAGAGGCAGCCAAATTACATTCACAGCTTGGTTTCACCTGGGAATCTCCAAGCCCAGCACAAGTACCAGCCATCTCAGATTGCTTAACATTTCAGGCAGGGATGGCCCCAGATAAAACACAGGCCAGGGCTGAGCTTGGCCTGCATCACCTGGGAAAACCCACACCACACCCAGTGGACAGCTACAGACCATGTCACGGAACCACTACCCTGCCCCTGCATAGCTGATTCTACACAGAAGGCAGAGATTGGTGGTCAGTGGCCAAAACCAGTCTTTGCAGCTGACTGGCCTGGGTAAATCCCTCCTATTGATCTGCCAACAGCAACCCAGGCTCAACTACAAGAGGAGGGTATACTCAGCCCACAAAGGGAACACTTGAGTACCCTGTTTTGGTGAAAGGTCCAGCTGTACTACTGGACCTTACAGGACACCTACTACCTTGGGCCACACTACCAAGACATGAGGAGTCAAAGCAGCTCTACCTAATACATAGAAACAAACACAGGGAGGCTTCTGCAACAAAGTGACAAAGAAACATGGCCCTAATGAAAGAGCAGATCAAAACTTCTGAAAAAGACCTAAATGAAATGGAGATAAGCAATCTATCAGATGTAGAGTTCAAAACACTGGTTATGAGGATGCTCAAGGAACTTAATAAGGACCTCAGTGGCATAATAAAGACCCAGTCAGAAATTAAGGCTACACAAGTTGAAATAAAGAACAATTTACAGGGGAACAACAGAAGAATGGATGAAGCTGAGAATCAAATTAGTGATTTGGAAAATAAGGAAGCAAAAAGCAACCACTCAAAACAACAAGAAGAAAAAGAATAAAAAACATGAGGATAGCATAAACAGCCTCTGGAACAACTTTAAGTGTTCCAATATTCATCTCATAGTGGTGTGAGATGGAGAAGAGAAAGAGCAAGAAATTGGAAATTTATCTGAAGAAATAGTGAAAGCAAACTTCCTTAATTTGGTGAAGGAAATAGATGTGTAGGGTAAGTGGAGGCAGGCTGGCTTCCTCACCCAGCTGTGTGGGTAACTAAGGGAAGCAGTGTCCCCATAGCCTTGAATGGACCTGATAAGTAGTGTTCTCATAGCCTTGAGACTGGGTCTGATAAACGGTCCCCATAACATGAAGTGGGCTCACATTTGCATGTTGTATAATTTATATATCAATTATATATATATATATATATATATATCATTCTGCATGTTATGGCAGAATCGCGCTGTTATATAATTTTTGGGGCTCTTTGCTAGCTTTGTTTGTCTTTAGTACTTAAGCAAGTAGGGACTCCTTGCTTGGTGCCAGAACATGTGCCACACAAGGGGACAGGTGACATGCAGTATGCCACACAGACATGCAGAGGCTTCTCAATAGAGACACGCGCAGCTTGCAGCTTGCATGGACTGCCCACCCTGGAATAAAGGCACGTCAGACGTCCCCACAGCTCCATGAATATTCTCCTGTCTGCCCGAATACTGTGAACCTGTCAGGCCTTCAATGGTCACATCACAACATGCAAGTGCAGGAAGCACAGAGGCAGTTATGATGAATGCAAAGAGGTCTACTCCAAAACACATCCTTATTCAAAGGTCAAAGGTTAAAGTTAAAGAGAGACTCTTAAAAGAAAGAGAAAAGAAGTTTGTTACCCGAAGGTTGCCAGATGGGAGGGAGAGAAGGAGTGGAGAGGTGAGGGGATTAAGAAATACACACAGGAATTGCAGAATAGCCATGGGAATGCAAAGGAAAGTATAGGAAATGGAGTAGCCAAAGAACTTATACTTATGACCAATGGACATGAACAATGGTGGGGGGACTGCCTGAGGGAGTGGGGGGCACTGGATGGAGGAGGGAAAGGGGGGAAAATCAGGACAACTGTAATAGCATAATCAATAAAATATAATTAAAAAATTAAATTACCATTGTTTAACTCACATTCCTACTTAATTTTGCTGATGACTTTGTGTTTTGACTCCCTAATGAATGACCTCTGCTTGGACCCTTGCTTTTATGCGGCAAATCCTTAGAACCCTCTATCTGACCATGGTCTCTTCTTCCCATGACAGTGACCTTGTCTTCTTTACATATTCTGGTACTCCTCAGACTCAGAATGACCTTCCCTTGCTATTGTGCTGAAGCAGCCAAATGTTTTAATGAAAAGCATCTAGAAACCTAGCCATTTGCACCTGCATCTCTATATTCCAGTTTGTCAGAAGACACTTGAATCAAATTCTCCATTGACGCATTGGTTCTAAATCATAGATCTGGGAGAAAAGGAGTGAGGAGGGCAAGCCCTGCTGGTTGGTGTAGGACACTTCTTGTCTGTGCAGGACCCAGTTTGGTCCAATATTTTGGCCTGTTACAAAGAATAGTTTTCAAACTCAGTTAATATCCTTTCTGCCTCGGCCAAGACTTCTCTTCTACTGTGCCAAAAAAACAAACAGCAACAACAAAAAACAAAAAGCCCACAAAAATAAAAACATACTGATATATGACCTTCTCACATTGCTGAAAATTTGCCGTAGGAGCCAAGCCTGTTTCTGAAAGTTTCAGCTCATCCAATCAGACAAAAAGCTGTGGAAAGGGGAGGCACTTATCAAGTTACACAGAGGAGTCCATCTGTTATCTTAGACTTTTGTTACCAAGTGACACAAGAGGAGATACTCAAGGCAGTTTCAAAGAGTTTTATTTTACAGATTCTTAGTCCAAAGATTTCAAATTGGAGAGAAGTAAAAGCAAAAAAGGAGAAAAGCCAACTAAGTGTGATGAAGAAGCCTTCTTCCTGGCATACTACTGACATTTAACCTGGCCAGAGCCTCCGGCAATGATGAAGTTGCCTTTTCAGCTGGGTTCTGTCTGTTCGGCCTTTGTAATAAATGCTATCAAAGGGGCAGTTGCTTCTCGTCACTCACAAAGGTCTTGGTTTTGAACCTGACCCTCACAAAAGCCACTTCTCATTATGCCAAACCAACAGAAGAAAGTCATTTTTTGCATGGCCGGGGTATTGAGCTTCGTGTGTGCCCTTGGAGTTGTGACAGCCCTGGGGACACCTTTATGGATCAAAGCCACCTTCTTCTGCAAAATGGGGGCTCTGCTAGTCAATGCCTCAGGGCAGGAGTTGGACAAGTTCATGGGTGAGATCCAGTACGGGCTTTTCCATGGAGAGGGCGTGAGGCAGTGCGGATTAGGAGCAAGGCCCTTTCGGTTCTCATGTAAGTAGCTATTGCATTTTGTTTTTTTAATATCTTAGGAGCACTTCTGCAATTGTTGCAAGAAATTGTTTTTAAGTGCCTTGCCTGTTGCAGGATTTCTTATACAGGTATGAACCATTTGAATTACCTAGGACAGTTCTGAGCAATCTCTTCTCCCTAGTATTAATTATTTTGTGTTTATTTTATTAATTATTTCATCCTTGCTATTTTCTATAATGACAACATGTAGTTAATGGGTTGCTATGGAGTTATACTTTTTAAAAGATAATAAATTAAAATTCTTCTTGGCTATTAATATTTACATAAGAAATGATGGGTCTTTTAAAAAAGGGAAAGACTCAGAGAAATAGAAAAGCTGTAAGATATGATTTTTGTTTTGTTCTTTATTAAAAGGTCAGCCAGTGCTGTGGGCTCCTTCCCCAGCCCTAGCTGCTTTTCTACCTTGTTCATGAATTTGTCTCCCGTCCCTTTTCTGTTGTTCTTGCTAGATCCTCTCCTGATGATAAATATTCTTTTAAACCAATTTGGAGCCACTGGGCTACAGGAATTTAAAACAATCAGCTTTACTAACTGGGAAAGAAATAGTTACCTATTTAGTATATAAAATTTGCAAGTGACTGACCTTCAAATCAGGTGGACAATGCGAAACAGATTTTCCGTCACAATTTTTGTGAAATAGAAGTCTTAACCTCGATATTTATAACCTGTTTATCTTTGGAAGAGAACTTTAAAAAAATTATCATGTGAATAGGCAACTAATCAAATGAAAATTAATAAGAAGTCATTTGTTATATCTCTCACAACACACATTTAGAAATTATTATTATTTTAAAAGGGCCGGTTTGAACAATCTTTCGAAGACACAACCAGTAAATTAGTGCATAAATCACTCTTCAGGAAAGGAGGTTACCAATCGAGGCATTTAAAATGAGTTATTATTTTGTCTGGGTATTTTTTCCTCTAGCATAGGTAGAAGGCTAAATAAATTGAATTTATTATTAATATATGCAGTGTCTAATTAAATTTCAGTGCTCACCTATTTACATTTCTGCAACTTATCTTCTTAGCAGTTGCTGGATACCAACCTTTAACTCATATAGTGAGTTCATAAGTATGTGAATTTTCATAGGACTCCAGAGATTCCTCAAGGAATCTCTAAAGATTAGTCTTCAGCTTTTCAAGAAATTGTCACACACTAGATTTCATCAAGTGGATACCGACTCTTCATTGAGTGGCTTTCGTTTATTAAAGTTATAGGACTGTGAGAGTTGCTTATCTTTCATGGGGGTGGGCAGAGAACAAAGCAGAATGTCACATGATTGGCAACTGTATTACAAAATAGAAAAAGGAAAACAGATGAGTGAAATGATTTAACCGTGAATCACTGGCAGCTTAAAGCATGAGTAAACATTTCTCACAAGTGAATTTAAACAAAAGCAGGGAGCTTACAGCGAATTTTCTGAGTCTTTGCATTTTCTACATTGAAATGTTTCAAAACAATAATGTTTTCTGAACACTTGCTAGACACTAAGCACTGTGCACATTTTGTCTCATTTAATCCTCGTGGGGCCACATTCCTCTGTGGTTCAACAAAAGGGTGTTCGTGGCTGTGTCCTAGGCTGGCCCTGTCTATGATGTTGATCCAATCAGGCATCCGTCCCCTTGCTTTCTGGGAGGATACACTGAGCTGGTGGGCTTCAGACAATACCCTCGCCTACCTCACAGAATTACATTAATCCCCACGAGATTCAACATTTTCCCCCAGCCTAGTTAATAAAATTTTACATTTGCTTGCTTGTTCTATGGGGATAACCGTCTCCATACACTATCCTAAAAATGTTAAAACCTCATTCATTTCTGAGGCCCAGCAAAGTATACTTACAGTATACCTTGGTTTCTGCCTAAGCAGAAAAGTATCTGTTTCAATGGAGCATGAGAGAAAATTAGAAAACTGTAGAATAAATGGATCCAACGGACTCCCTAAAAAGCATAATGCTCAATTAAATAAACACCTCCTCTGAGTGTTAAAAAAACTTCCTAATGATGTACCTTAGAACACACTGCGCCCGTTTACACTCCCCTTGCAGTACAGCTTAGTGGTCCATGTCTCACCATTCAAAATGCTGTCATCCTGTTCAGGATGTTCCATCAATGTACCCCTGAAGGAAGAGAGCTCTCTGATATTCTTCCTGATGGAAAAATATAGCCTTGTCCACATGAGAATAACAAATACAACTGTCTTCTCAGTAACGGCTTCCATGTAGCAAAATCCAGAGACACTGAAAAGCTCAGAGTCCATCTGAAAATTAGAGCACAACTCCCTTCCCACAACGTGGTTAAGTGAACATTCGGATTTGCAGAACCTCCCCAAGTGTAGCAGGAATGGAAACAGTAACTACTCATCAAAGTATCAGTAAGTTTGTGGCCAGTTTTCTTCATGTTGTCGTGTCATCACCAGTGAATGTAAATTTACGTTTCAATTCTGTTGGATCGCTAAATGCTACCTGGTTTGCCACACTTTTCACTTAGATCAGCATTGGCCAACAGAAAGGTAATGTAAACCATAAATACAAGTCACATCTGTAATTTCTAATGTTCTAGTAGCCATATTAGAAAAAAAAGTAAAAGGAAACAAGTGAAATTAATTTTAATGACCTATTTTTCCTTAACCCAAGATGTCCAGAATACTGTCCATTTAACTGTTGATATAAAAAAGTAACGACATATTTTGCATTCTTTTCTTCAGTGCTAAATCTTTGAAACCTGGTGTGTCTGTTGTACTTAGAGCACATCTCAAGTCAGACCAGCCAAGTTCAAGTGTCCACAGGTCATTTCAAGATGGCTGATGTGTCACACTGCAGAGTGCAAATTCAGATTTACTCTGAATCTCCATATTCTAAATGAATTTTTGCTGGTTTCTGTATAAGTTTTTGTGTGCTATTTTTACATGCAATGTTTTGGTAACTTTTAAAACCCAGATATATGGTGTAACATGAGGATGAAGAATAGACCAGAAAAATAGTTAGGCTGTGTTGTCCTTTTTGTTCCTATTGACTACTCCATCTCTTTTAATTGTAACAAGCATCTTCCCTGCCACCATGCACAAATATGCTGGGAAACTTCTGCCTCGTTTACTCTGGCTGGTTCTCATCCATTTATGGGTCGGTGGTTCATTTTCTACAGGTCACTAGCATTCATACCTAGCACACAATTTCATTCATTATAATGAAGAACTGTTTTTCTTTCAAGGCAACACAAGTGGTGGGCTTAATTTTTCCTGATATGGCACCTGCAAAATTTTAGTGATAACATTTAAACTCTGTGCCATTGAGACAAAAACTGCCAGTTTTGAGCACAGTGTGTGTGGGTAGGTTTCTGTTTTGGTGGTTTGAAACGCTGCACAGCATCATCAAAATACGATACCCAAGCATCATATGGTATCAATCATTCCTAGATATGCTGGTCTCTTCATTGCCAAGACAGTAAAATGAGCTGGTAAAAACATATGGAGTCCTTTTTTGGTGGGGAGGGGAATGTGAAAAATAAAATTTAACCAATCATGTATCACAGCTTGCAACTTCAGTCATATAAAGCATTTTAATTTAATGATTGAAAATTTGTAAAAAGCTTAACAGAGGATTAGCTTCTTTCATATTTTAGATAAGCAGAGGTGTGTGTGTGTGTGTGTGTGTGTGTGTGTGTGTGTGTTTACCAAATAAAGCATATGGTCCAGACTGCAGAGGGAATGTTGAAGTTGAAACTACTTCTATGAGCAAGCAGGTGGCTTCGCAAACATATTTTGGGGTAAAAGAGTTGGGATTCAGGATCCCTGTCACCTCTGACACTGTCTCCCTGGGCTCCTGCAAGTGTGACTGTTGTTTCTTATTAAACCCACCTGCCTGCCCCAGGTGACTTCTTGGTCACCATCTTCACACCCTGCGCCTTCCCCATCACCCTGCCAAACCACACAGAGCTGCAAAGTTCTCTGATGTACCTTCTTCCGATGACAGTGTCTGCCTCTCCTCCCTTCCTTAGTGCATGGCCTGTGTTCAAGCGGGAGTGGTGGGGGTAGAATAAAAGGCTGCCTGGTGAGAGGGATGAAGAAAGGAAGCGACTTGCATCATCTCACCTAGCATGCTTGGGCCCACCTGACCTTTCGCTTGGGTCCCTGCTATCTAGTCTCACTCACCCATTAAAACTGTCCAGCATGGGGGTGGGGAGGGCAGGGGAAAGTGGTGGTGGGAAAATGGAGACAGCTGTTTTCAAACATCAATAAAAATTGTTTTAAACTGTCTAGCAACTAGAGATTTTGTTGTCCATCCACTGGAAAAAAGTGATACGTGGAATAGAAGAGAATAATATCTAAGAAGCACTAGTGTAAAGAAAGAGCCTTCAATTTCTCTCAGCCAAATAATTTCCCCTCTCTGTCCCTTCCAGACCTTGATGTTCACTCTATTATTTCAAATCACCTTGTATTATGAGTATTTGAAATGTATATTGCTCTGCAGGGGGACCCTGAGCCCCAAGAAGGCAGAGGCTGTGCATTATTCATCCTGGTGCTCTCTCAAACAGGACCCAGCACAGTTCGTGTCCCAAAGAGGTGCTTAGTATTTTAAATACTTGGTAAACACTATTTAGATTAAGCAATCTGGGTTTAAGGCTGGTCTCTGCCACTCACTGATGATGAGACCTTGAGCAAATCATGTCACTTCATGTCAGCTCTTGCATCTATAAAATGGGGAGTAGAACTAGGTGATTTCTAACATCTCTTTCATTTCGAACTCTCTATGATCTATATAATATGGGGCTAGCCATTCTAGAAAAGGTCCTTCCAGCTTTCAAATTGCATGACCCTTCTAGTGTCGGCCTCACAAAGCCTTTGCTGACAGATTTTTAGTTCATCGTCAGAAGGAAAGTTTTGTGTGCCTTTACTCTTTGGTCCTCAAAGCTCATGATTCTTAAAGTATTTGAAATATCTACCAATTGTCAGGACCTAAATG